AAGACCAGAGACTGCCAGCTTCTCACAATCAACAGCCACAACCTGTTAGGACCACAAGCCTGGTGAGCCGAAGAACCACAGACAGCCTGGCAAAAAAATGAAAATCCTACCCAACTCCTTTCCACAGCTTTGTCCACTGTGGATGCACAGAGAAGGCTTGAGGACCCTGAGCATAGGAGCTGGCTGCCTCCTGTGAGCCCTGCGGCGATGCTGCAGTGCCCAGCCCACCGGGCAGCGTGGCACCCACGGGCCAGGGGCCAGCGGCATGGGAGAGCAGGAAGGGCAGGGATTGTGTCTCCAGGGTGAGGTTCTGATCTCCACTGGTGATTGATTGAGATCCTTTCTGTATGTGGGTACGAGTGACACCACCATCTCACCAGCTTCATTTGGCTTTGTCTAGAATAGTCTTCTAAGACCTCTGTGTTCCTCAATCAAAGCAGGCACCCCCCGAGAGAGGGGCACTGCCTCCCACTGCTGGGTGCTGTCTCAGAGCACCCTGGCAGCTCTTGTTGAGGGTCTCCACCACTCCTGGGTGGCCAAGGGTCCCTCATTCCCGAAGGCTCCCGCTGGCGGGTCATCTCACGTACTGCTTGGGACAGCAGGGACAGAACTGTTCTTTCTTAAAGAATAAATTTATTGAGTTCTCTCATGTGAGGATGATATAAACCATCAGAATAGTAACAAAAAAAATCAATCCAAATAAAAATCTTGAGAGACCACGTCTGAGTTAATATTGGTTAAGATGTTTTTAATCTCTCATTTTAAAATTTTCTTCTATAGGCATTTTTCTAATTAGTCAAGGAAAGGTTGGTGGCTGAACATTGGACGTGACTCGTCTATTCTGTTTCTGAAGCAGGGTCAAGATCTTCTTCTTCATTCACCACTGGGGGGCTCCCAGCCAGAGGCCAGTGGTCCCAACAGGCTGACGTTGGGTGGGCAGACACTGACCCCTGCAGGGCTGGGCACCGTGCCCCCGGACCCTGCCTGCTCGTGTGAGGCCTGCAGCGAGCGCAGGTATGTGCTATGTGAGCCATGCCACCCACGCTGGGCCAGGGTGTCTCCAGAGCATGTTGGGGTGGGATGGGAAATGGCTTTTCTGACAAAACGCAGCCACATTTGAACCAACCTGAGTATAGGGCTGAGAATCAAGGCTTGGCTGCTACAAGGGGAGCGACACAAGACAAGAAGTCCTTGCCATTGAGGGATGAATACTTAGGAAACTTGTCCTGAGAAAGTGAGAGAAGTCTTACTAGAATGTAACAGAAACGGTGGTAGTGATGGCGGTTGCGGAGAGGTGAAGAGGGAGAAGCGGACCTGACAGGGCTTTGTACCCAACCTGGGAAAGAAGCCAGTGGGCACACAGGAGGGAAAGCCACAGGCTCCGGAGCACCTTGCAGGTGGACACTTGCCCTAACTGCTGGTTTCTGTGTTGTGTCACAGAGACATCTCAGCAGAGACGGACCGGGAGCCACAGCAGCTGCAGAACTACTGGTCGGAAGTACGCTACATGGTCCGATGCATATATCGCCAGGCAGGGACCCCGCTGGCAGATGACCAGGACCAGACTTTGGTACCTGACAAGGAGGGAGTGAAGGAGCTCGTGGATAGGTACACGTTACCCCTGTGTGTTTTTCCCTGTCCAGGTCCTTGCCTCTTCCGCCACCTGTGGATTTCCTTTTAGGTCCTGAGTGAAGCTGGGCTGGGCTCACTCGGCCCAGGATGTGGTGCAGGTCTTTAGCAGACAGCTGGGAAAAATGAGCCTTGTGGGTAAAACATAGAAAGGTCTCCTGATGAAGCATAAAACGTTTCTGTCATTTCCTTGTGTTAAAACTGACAATGCCTCCTGGTGTCTCTGCTGTACAAAGGTGATGCCAAACACTCTTGAATTTACCAGCCCAGGGAGAAAGGCTGAGCGCCCACATTACTGAGATGTGAGTTCTGGCAGCTTGGGAAGGTGCCTGCAGCCTGGCGGTGTGGGGCGGGGCAGGGCGGGCTGGGCCGAGGAGCTGGGTATACTGAGTAGCTGCCCACCCAGAAGTAGCTCCCACCCTGCATCTCTTCAGTGTTTACTACAGCTTGTACCATTCTTTCCCCCTGATGTTTGAAATGTTCAAAATAAAACGACAAATTTGAGCTGGACATTTCATGGGTTGATTCTCATTTTGGTTTCTTTCTGCCTCACATTTTGAATGCATTCTTTGGGGATCTTATAAACTCTTGTTTATAAGATCTACTGTACAGTAGATTTTATCAGGCATTTAAGGAGATGAGTTATAGTTAGCATCATTCAGAGTTTGACCTCACACACTCGTGGTGTCTGAGGTGTTTCAGATGGCGTGCCTTTTTTAGTAGATAGGTTTCCTCATGAGTGTGGGAAATGTACATACTCATGACTTCTCACATTATTGGTGCTATGTCTTGGATTCCATAGAGTAAAATTTAGCACAGTATTGATGTCCCAGTATATGACTGAACTTCTGCAACATCTTCCATATATTCCTGGCTCATTTCATGTTTGTAATAGATTTTCATAAATTTATAAAATACAAAAATGGACAAAGAGGGGCTGGGAAGGTGGCTCAGTGGTAGAGTGCTTGCCTTGCATGCATGAGGCCCTGGGTTCAATTCCTCAGCACCACATAAGCAGAAAAAGCTTGAATTGGTGCTGTGGCTCAAGTGGTAAGAGAGCCAGCTTTGAGCTGAAGAGCTGAGGGACAGCGCCCAGGCCTAGAGTTCAAGCTCCACAACTGACCCCCCAAAAAAGGACAAAGATACTAAGAATTGTGTCTAACCTCCCCACACTGAACTAAAGATAAGTTATCCAGTGGTTTTGATTTTTTTAAACATCAGTTAGTTGTATAAAGAGATTTCATTTTGATATGCCTATATATTCATCCCATTTGCTTTGATCAGACTTAGCGTACCACCAGCACCACTACCACCATCCCTTGGCCACGCTCCTCCTCCCCTCTTCCTGCTTCCTAGAATCTTCCATTGGTCCTGTGAGTCTGGTTGTTGCCATGTCATTTGACTTGTCTGTGGCTCTCCTTACGCAAATAGGAGACATTCTGTGAGTGTTTTCTATTGCTGGGCACGATGAGCATGTCTGTAATCATAGCATATGGGAAATGGAGACAGAAAGATCATGAGTTCAAGGCCAGCTTGGAATATATAGTGAGTTGAAGACCAGATTGAGCTATATAACTACACCTTATCTAAATTACACCAAGGGTGGGGATGTAGCTCTGGCCTCACATGAAAATGACCCTAGGTTTAAGGCTCGACACTGTAAAAAAGCAAAACAAGATTACTTTGGTAAAATATACCAACCATAGTGGGAATCTTACCAACTTAGGTTATTTTTCTAATTGAATTTTATGTAAGATTTGACGTTTCGTTGTAAAAGTTTAGTCTGTCTTCATCTTTTGCAGTCTAATTAGTGTGGTTGTTTAAAAATGAAATGGCAATTTATGTACTTCTCTTTTGACCTAACATGGCACCCACAAGGACCCAGTAAGCCCAAGAAATAAGCTTAGTACATTTTATGGTTTGTTTCTAACAGGAGCCACACTCAACTGGGTCCCCCTGGTGGCACGTTAGGATGGACGCTTTGGTGTTTTTTCAGTGGTCCTAGGCTTCCATCTAGAGGATCTCAGAAGTACACAGTTAAAAGCAGTGATGATAACTTTAGCCAGAATATAATGCTGAATACTTCAGAACAAGTTTTTTTTAGAGTGGATCATCTCCCTGGTTGTGGTAGTGCATGCCTGTAATCACTTCTTTATAGAAGGCTGAGCAAGATAGGAGGCTCAAGAGTTTGAGGCCCCTGCCTGGGCTCCAGTGGCTCACGCCTGTAATCCTATTTACTCAGGAGGCTGAGATCTAAGGATCGAGGTTCAAAGCCAGCCCTGGCAGGAACATCCATGAAATTCTTTTTTTTTGGGGGGTGGGTCTGGTCGTGGGGCCTGAACTCTGGGCCTGGGCTCTGTCCCTCAGCTCTTCAGCTCAAGGCTAGTGCTCTACCACTTGAGCCACAGCACCACTTCCGGCTTTTTTCTTATGTGGTGCTGAGGAATTGAACCCAGGGCCTCATGCATGCAAGCCACCTTCCCAGCCCCTCCATGAAATTCTTTTTTTGTTTTGTTTTGTTTTTTTGGGTCGTGGGTCCTGAACTCTGGGCCTGGGCGCTGTCCCTCAGCTCTTCAGCTCAAGGCGAGCGCTCTACCACTTGAGCCACAGCGCCACTTCCAGCTTTTTTTTTTCTTTTTGCTTATGTGGTGCTGAGGAATCGAACCCAGGGCCTCAGGCATGCAAGGCAAGCGCTCTACCACTGAGCCACCTTCCCAGCCCATCCATGAAATTCTTATCTGCAGTAAACCACCAGAAAACTGGAAGTGGTGCTGTAGCTCAAGTGATAGTGTTCTAGCCTTGAGGTGAAGAGCTAAGAGACAGCGCCCAGGCCCAGAGTTCAACCTCCACAACCAAACCGACCCCCCCCCAAAAAAAGTTTGAATAAAAAGATCATCTCCCTGTTTGGAAAGAAATTAATGACAATGTTGGCTGTCATTGTGATTAGTGGTTTGGGAATGTATTTTTCCCCCTGTTCTTCAGTTTACTATAGTTTATCATTTCTTGTTAGAATTATTTTATTTTTTGGGGGGGGTTCCGGTCGTGGGGCCTGAACTCTGGGCCTGGACACTGTCCCTCAGCTCTTCAGCTCAAAGCTAGCACTCTACCACTTGAACCACAGCACCACTTCCAGCTTTTTTCTTTTTGCTTATATGGTGCTGAGGAATCGAACCCAGGGCCTCATGCGTGCAAGGCAAGCGCTCTACCACTGAGCCACGTTCCTAGCCCCTGTTGGAATAATTTTAAAACAACATAAATTATGTCTGAAACTTCCTCTGATTATAAAAATAATAGAAACCCATTTGTATTCTGTCCTGAGTTTCTAGAAAGAAGGAAACTGCAGTCTGTCTCAGCCAGGTGTTACTTCTGTAGGGTAGGTCAGTCAGTCACACTTGAGCCTTCCCAGAGAATCCTCATCAGTCCTGCCAGTCATTAATGGTGTGTGGTTGGGGCCCGGGTTGATTCCTTTGCATAAACAGCACTCCATGGAGGAATTGCTCAGGGCAAAGTAGATTGTGTGAACTCCTGACGATGCTCTGTGTCTGCATTCTTCATCGTGAGGGGAATATTGGGGACCCTTGCAGGTGGTCATGAAGGTGACAGTAGGTAACCACCTCCAGAACGCCTTAGGGAAGGTGCCCACTGACATTAGACCACCCGATACAGCTCCATTACGTGAAAAGCCACATCTAAGCGGTGGCTCTCTCTGCAGGCTCTGTGAGCGGGACCCCTACCAGCTGTACCAGCGGTTGGAGCAGCAAGCCCGGGAGTATGTGTTGGAAATGAAGGTCCGCCTGCTCCGGCACCTGTCAGCCGCTGCGAAGGCAAAGGCCACTTCCGGCCTGCAAGGCCCGCCACAAGCACATCACTTTGTCTCCCTCCTCCTGGAGGAGTACGGGGCCCTCTGCCAGGCCGCACGCTCCATCAGCACCTTCCTCGGCACTCTGGTGAGTGTGGTAGAGGAACATGGCAGGTGGTTGCATTGTCACATGCTCTGTACACTGTCAGACTCCTTCCTCCACAGGACCGCTTGGGGACCTTGCCAGCCAGTGGAAGCATTGAAGGGATTGATATCTGGATGAGATGACACAGAAATACTGAGGCCTGGGGAGCAAAGCATGGGGCCAGGCAGCAGTGAAGAGAGCTCCCATTAATAGAGAGAACAAAGAAAAGTCCTTTGTATTTTGGGGTGTTAATGCTGTTGTGCATGTGAGGCCTGTAGAGAGTGACCTGAGTTCCTGTGCATGTGCACACCCCTCCTAGGTATATGTCCAGTAGCCCAACACAGGACAGGGACAGGCCTTTGGAAGCCACCCTGGCCCTTGCAGGGACCACACCGTTCTAGCAAAGGACTCAGGTGTGCCTCTGACCTCCTCAGAAAGTCAGTCCTACCTTGATGGAGAAGGCACGGCATAGCAATACGGGTATCTGCCTTTCGGAAGCTTTCTTAACACCCTAGGCAAAAGTTGTAGCAAGATACCGCCACAAAAACAAAGTAAAATAGAAAAGACTAGGGCAGTAGCTCCAGTGGTAGAGTGCTTGCCTAGCATTCCAAGGCCTTGGGTACAATCTCCAGCACCAAAGAAAAGGATTGTCTGGTTTGGTTTGGTTTGGTCTTTTTTAGATAAAAGGGTTATAAAAAATATGAGACATAAATTGAAGAGGTCCCTCACTGGGTGAGAATTTAAGAAGGGAATTAGAGGGCTGATGCTAGTGACTCACATCTGTAATCCTAGATATTCAAAAGGCTGAGATCTAAGAATCAGAGTTCAAAGCCAGCCTGGGCAAGAAAGTCCCTGAGACTCTTTATCTCCAATTAAACACCAAGAAAGCTGGAAGTGGAGCTGTGGCTAAAGTGGTAGCATGCTAGCCTTAAGCAAAAAAGCTCAGGGACAGCACACAGGCCCTGAGTTCAAGCCCCAGGACTGCCACTAAAAAAAGAAGGAAATTGGATTGATAGAGAAGATGGTTGAAATATCAGAATACTATGGTCCAGAAGACATGGAGTACTGGTGCAGTGATGTCATGACCACTGTACTCCTAAGATATCATCTGAAGACACTCATGAGTTCTCTTGAATTTCTCAGGAAATTCTGCCACTGCCAGAATGCCACGAGTGGAGGGGGCAATTAAATTAGTACCTTGGCATCAAGTGATTTGTATGCACTAAAACGATTTAAAATGTAGAGCTTCTATTACATTTTGGAAGCCTAACTGCAAAGAAATGACAGTCAAATACATTGTTTCCTGTCCTCTGTCCCTCCTTCATCCATCGGTGTGCACACCTTCGCCCTTCTTCATGTGCGGCTCCTGTAGGAGCAGGAGTGGTGGCCTGCTGTGTGCTTGGCCCTGGGAGGGCGCAGAGACGGCTCACAAGCCCCATGTTCTGGGACTGTGCAGAGGCCGCATAGGAGATCCTGCTGGGAAATTTCTCCTCTTTACCAGTTCATCTTTTGTTTGTCTTTTGTCCCCTTAACTAGGAAAACGAACACTTGAGAAAGTTCCAGGTGACCTGGGAACTGCATAATAAACATCTGTTTGAAAATCTGGTCTTTTCAGAGCCACTTCTCCAGAGCAGCTTGCCAGCACTGGTGTCGCAGATCAGGTATTCAGTGTTGACTTGTGTGTCCTGATGTGTGGCCTCCCAGGCTTTCCTGTAATGTGTGTGACTGCAGACTGCTGGAGGTTTCTTCAGGAAAAACAATGGGGCCTAATGAAAGAAAGTTGGGCAGAAAGCTCAAACCTAAGGATAACAATACAGTTGAGCTTGTAAGTAGTGACTGTAAGCGCTGCTAAAATCTCATAAATGCAGGAAGGCCACAGTGGGTGCAGCGTTGGTCACTCACTGCAGCTTCAGTGTAAATGGTAACCTCTCACCGGGCTGCGTGCCTGGACCCCCGCCACAGGTGAGAATCTGCAGAGCAGGAACAGGTGACAACTTAGCACTGCTGCTCCATGGTTTTCCACCTGTCACGGGGGTCTCTACAATGTAGGTCCCATGACAAGGAAAGTGTCATGCTTTACCATGCCCAGAGTCACTTCTTGGTCAGGGGTTGTCCCTGGGAGTTGATGGGAGGTAGATGAGAACACAGCTCAGAGCTTCGGGCTTCACTGTGCAATGCCTCTGTCACAGAGGTCTCTCCATGCCTTAGCTCTTTCTCTCTATTCACCCTTGGGTTGCTCCTCCTGGAGGAAGACCAAGACAAGTGTTTAATATTGGGAATTTGCTGGGGGTAAGTGAGGGAATGCAGGCTGGGCATGTGTTTATCCTGGGGTCACCGTGTTCAGTTAGTAAGCACCCCCTTTGTGTGATGTTTCTCAGCAAAGCCTAGTTACACATGAGCTACCACAGCTCTGTAAGTTGGGTTTTTTTGTTGTTTTGGGGTTTTTTTTGTTTTTTGTTTTGTCGGTCGTGGGGCTTGAACTCTGGGCCTGGGCACTGTCCCTCAGCTCTTCAGCTCTACCGCTTGAGCCACAGTGCCACTTCCGGTTTTCTAGTGGTTTATTGGAGATAAGAGTCCCACAGACTTTCCTGCATGGACTGGCTTTGAACCTCGATCCTCAGTTCTCAGCCTCCTGAGTAGCTAGGATGACAGGCGCGAGCCACCTGCTCCCGACTTATAGTTGGGTTTTGTTTCTCATTTGTTTCTCATATATAAACACGTTCCCATATTGTAAATGTACCCTAATAGCAGCCACCACCTTTATTTGGCCATATTGAAATACTAGAGCACAACCTCCCATCCACATCTCGGGGGAGAATGACCTGAGAATCTGTTGGATGAGAGAGACTGGCACTAAAAGGACTGGGCAGAATTGTGCAGTGATAGCATGGCACTTGTGGATTTCAGCTTGGCCCTTGTAGTGTTGTTTTATCCTGCTCTCTGGCCCCTCTGGCTTCTGCGTTCACTGTTCTAAGCATTGAGTATGCTTGGGAGTCTTCCTCATCCGGTTTCTACCACTCCCCAACAGTCCTTGGAGCTTTGATTATGGTGTGTGGTGGGACCTGAACTCAGTGCTATCCTTGAACTTTACCACTTGAGCCACAGCTTCCACTTCTGGCTTTTTTTTGGTGGCAGATTAGTGATAAGAGCTTCATGGACTTTGCTGCTTGGACTGGCTTTGAACCTTGCTCCTCAGATCTCAGCCTCCTGAGTTGCTCATAGGCGTGAGCCACCGGCACCCACCATGACTTTGTGTTTTGAGTCCTCATTATCCATTTACCTTCTCGATTCCCCACCTCTGAATCCTGCTCTGGGGAGCCGTCTTCAACTTATAAGCTTTGGGGATTACTTCAAATTCAGATCGTTACAGAAGATGGGAATCGTCACAGTTCAAGGCAGAGAGCCAGTGTGGTGGTTCATGTCTGTGATACAGGGTGTGATTATGGGAGACTGTAGGTAGAAGGGTCATGGTCTGATGCCAGCCCTGAACAAAGAAATGCATTTTCCTGCCTGAAAAACAACTCAAACCAAGGAGGACCTGGGAATATGGTCCAGGTGTTAAGAGTGCATGCCTACGCAAGCGTGAGGCCCTGAGTTCATAACAGTATAAGAAAACTTTTTTCTTTTTAGCAGCTTTATTGAGATAAAATGTATATACTGACGATCACTTAAATTTACAACACAATAGTTTTTTAATATTACATTCTAATTTGGGGGGGTAAAATACAACAAGAGTTGTCATTTTAAGTATATAATTCAAGCTCTGAGAATGTGGCTTAGGGGTAGAGTTCTTGTCTAGCATGCATGAAACCCTGGGTTTGATTCCTCAGTACCACTTACAAAGAAAAGGCCAGAAGTGGCTCAAGAGTGCTAGCCTTGAGCAAAAGAAGTTCCAGGACTGGCAAATAATAATAATAATAACAATAATTCATAGAGGTATAATGCATTATGCATTAGTTAACATGCACAGCTGTCATCATGTATTTCTAAACCTGTTCTTTTTGGTGGTATTAGGGTTTGAATTCAGAGCTTCCATGTTTACTAGCCAGGTGCTCTACCACTTGACCCATGCCCTGGCTCTTTTTACTTTCATTATTCTTTTAAATAGGTTCTTGCTTTGTGTCCAGTCTGGTCTGGACCATGATCCTTGTATTTATACTTTTTGCACGGTTGAGATAGTAGGTGCACATAGCTTTTTATTAGTTGAGAAAGGAGTCTTACTAACCTTTGCATAGGCTATCTTCAAACCTTCAGTTTCTCAAATCCTTCCAACTTCTGCCTCCCAAGTAGCTAGGATTACATGCAGGAGCCCGGCTCTGGAGCTTTTTTTTTTTTTTTCTCCTAACAGAAACTCTGTACTCAATGAATAGTAACTCCTGTCACCCCACCCCATCTTCTGGTCCCATCTTGCCATCACTACCCTATTTTTTCTGTCTGCTTATTAAGGAGTTTCACTGTTTGTCCTGTAGAAGTGCCGCCATTGGTCCAGGTCCTGCACTGGCATGCTTACTAAATATATTGCCAGAGCAGTCTCCAGGACACCACCACCCCCCCCAATCACTGCTGCTTTCCTGTGGCCTGAAATAATCTGTGTCTGTAACTTGGAATAAAGGTGAGCTTGCTTGCTTGCTTGCTTCTGGTAGGAAGGAGGAGGAGCACATATATAGAGAGATTTGGTGAACTGTATAGAAACAGTTTTGCATCAAAACTAGAAGTAGGTCATGTGCAGAGCAGTAGAAGAAAATCTGTTTCACAGCTCATGAAAGGGCCTAGGGCTGTTTGCACACTCAGCGCAGTCTGAGTAGAGCCGTGTCTTGAGCTGCAGGGCATCCTCTCAGCCACTGTGCCTAGATGCTGTGCTTCCCGTTTTCTGGACGGTTTCCCCAACAACTTCTGCCACATGTGTTGGTAGCTTCAGCAGCCTGGAGTTTGAATTCCCCTTTATTCAGTGTTCACAAGCCTGGTCCACCCCAGGGTCGAACCCGGGTAAAAGGGCAAAGAGCCATTTCTGTCCATTTGCATCTATGACAAGGGTTCAGTTTAAGTGGATTTGTTATTTTTTTCTATTATAAAACAATCTGGTTGTTACTAAAAATAAAATATGAAAATAAAACAATGAAGAGAGTGGTAAGGGCTCTGTAAGCACATTTGATGTTTCTTACATATTTTCCCTTTGGTTACACATATACACACACATACTTTTATATGCTCTGAAGTCATAAATTTCTTAACATGGGCATTTTTTAACCGGTGTACATGTGTTATAATTGTAACATTGCAAGTATGCCAATATGTAGCCCTACACATAGTCTTTGTGCTCTTTATAAATGTTACCTTTGATTCTCAAGAGTCTTTGCCAAGATAACTTTGTTACAGTTTGTAATGTATTTGTGATATGTTGGTGCATGAAAGAAGAGGTTTTTCTGATCTCCTGACCTGCCTTTGAGCGGCCACCTTCACCCCAGGCTTCCCTTCCCTACCTCACCCCGCCCCCCTCCTCCTCAAAACCTTTATTTACATATTTTCCCAAGAGTGTTCATCTTTTTTTTTTCCCTTTTAGTTGTATAGCTATCTTTATATTGTTAGGAATGATACAAGAATGTTAAAAGTTTTAATTCTTTTATTTTCATGTTTTATACTGGGATTGAACCCTGGGCCTTACTTCTCCTAGGCAAGTGCTCTGCCATTTGAGCTATGCCCTCAGCCATTTGGTGGTTTTTGGTTGGTTGGTTGGTTGGTTGGATATGGGGCTTGAATTCTGAGCCTGGGCACAGCTCAAGACTAGCACTCTACCACTTGAGCCACAGTGCTCTTTTCAGTTTTCTGGTAGTTTATTTGAGATAAGAGTTTCTCGGCTTTTCCTGCTCCAGCTGGCTTGATCCTCAGATTTCAGCCTCTTGAGTTGCTAGGATTATAGGCGTGAGCTACTGGCGCCTGGCCTTTGAGGGAGTTTTTTGTTGTTGGTTTTCTTTTTTTTTCCTTTTTTTTTTTGTATCACTTTAGGAAAGTTCTTTAACCAGGCCCAAGCTTTGGTTTCTTTATCTGCACAATGGGAACTATAGTACATAAAGTTATTACAAAAGGACTCAATTACAGAACATACGGGAAAGCATTTCGCAAATTGTAAGTTTTCAATAAATGGGTTATTAATTTTGTGCATATTTTAGCAAGTTTTTAAAGTTATGGAAATATAGGATGTTACTTATATTCACTCAAAATGAAGTGCTTTAAAAGTATAATGTGATGCCCTGAAACCAACAGAGGTCACCTATTCAACGAAAACTGATTATTTAAAATACCTTGGTAGAAGCCAGGTGCCGAGGCTGAATCTATAATCCTTGTTATTTGGGAGACTGAGATCTAAGGATCTTATTTACCAGTCAGCCCAGGCAGACTAACCCATGAGACTCTTCGATTAATGAGCAAAAAAAACCATAACTGAAACCCCATCACACACACACACACACCACACACGCACGCACACACGCACACGCACAGGGGTTAGGAATGTGACACATAGTAGGGTACCTGCCTAGCATTGCCAGCCACTGTTCAGTATGTGCCTGCTTCAGAACTAGGCCAGGTGAAGATGAAGAAAGTGTATGTTATACTTTGCTGCATCACAGTGTCTCGCAGCAACCCCATGAGATAAGTCTTTATTCCTTAAGATACAGAAGCAGCTCTCGGCTACCAAAGGTAAGCCACAGAACAGGAATAGTGTTTGCTGCCAATGTCAGCAAGCATGGACATGAAGTTCTGGCCAATGTGGCTGTGAGGCTTTCCACACCGAAGGGTCAGACAGAGTTTGGTCAAGTTGTAGAACTCCCTGGTCACTGCAGTCCTCCGAAATTGCCTCTGCACCTCAGGGTTTGATGCTGGAGCCCACAACCAACCGGCCTCCCTCCAAGCGCTCTCCTTGTTTGGTTTTCTACACAGGGTCTCCCTAACTTTTTAATGGGCTGGTCTTGAACTCATTCTCCCACGTAGGTGGGATTATAGGTGGATACAACTATATCCAGCTTATGTGTGTAACTTTTGTTTCTCATGTTATCTCATTTTCCATCTTACCATCTTTTTCTTTTGTACTATTTTTTGGCTGTACTAGTGGTTGGACTCAGGCCCTGTGCTTGCTAGACAGATTCTCTACCACTTGGGCCACACTCTAGCCTTTTCTGCTTTCATTATTTCTGCAAGAGGAGCTCACATTTTGTGTGGGCTAGCCTGGACTGCAGTCCTCCTATTGAAGCTTCCTGCATAGCTGGGGTGGCCAGCACCTAACTTCTGTCTGTCTGTCTGTCCTCTCTCCTAACCTCCTTCCATTCTACCCTGCTCCCTCGCACCCAGATATATTATGTGAAATTGTCTGGGGTGCCTTGAATATGTACTGTTAGTACTTCACAGCAGCCCTGCAGTGGTGTGCCACAACATCCTTGTGTTTGGAGCTGGGAGGTGAGCTGACCGAGCAGCAAGAAGCACACCTATGCTTTCAGTGTGGGAGTCTTGGTGACAGGCCCTCTCCCTCCTAGGCTAGGGACCACCACACACGACACCTGCAATGAGGACACGTATAGCGCCTTGCTGCAGAGGTACCAGCGCTCTGAGGAGGAGCTGCGCAGAGTTGCTGAGGAATGGCTAGAGTGCCAGAAGAGGATAGACGCCTATGTGGGTGAGCAGGTGAGTGATGGGCCTAAGGTTGCAGCAGATCCCACAGAGCCCCTCCCCCCGCCCCGCCCCGGCCGGGGCCCTGCTCACTGGGCAGCAAAGAATGGCAGCACCACAAACAGCCTGCTCCTCGCTGCCACTTGCATAGACTGTCACATCCTCAAATGGGAGCCTTAGAGACATTGAGAAGCCATCAGGCCAGGTAATTCTAGGGAAAAGTTTGCTGAACACTATGCTTCCCAGAGCCCATTTTTCACCCATGCAGAACCGTCTAGAAATGGAGCATGGGCGCCTACATGGATGCGTGGGAGAGGGGCAGGTTGGGAGGTAGGCCATGCCTGTGGAGACGTGTCTAACGCCTTGGTATGTGAGGGGCTACAGCCTTAGAGTGACAGCACGTTGTTCTTTGATTAGACGTCCTCTGCCACTCACCCCTGGCCTCCCAGCTTTCTAGAAGGTCATCAAGAAGAACACTCAACATGGCTGTGTGTGTGTGTGTGTGTGTGTGTGTGTGTGTGTGCGCGTGTGTGTCTGTGTGTGTCTGTGTGTGTGTGTGTGTGTGTGTGTGTGTTTTGCCAGTCATGGGGCCTGAACTCTGGGCCTGGGCGCTGTCCCTCAGCTCTTCAGCTCAAGGCTAGCACTCTACCACTTGACCCACAGCGCCACTTCCAGCTTTTTCTGCTTATGTGGTGCTGAGGAATCAAACCCAGGGCCTCATGCATGCAAGGCAAGCACTCTTCCACTGAGCCACCTTCCCAGCCCCCATGGCTGTATTTTAAAGGTCATGGTGGTACGAGGAATAAAAAGGAGAAGTGCCAGTGTTCTGGACTGTGCTTATGAGACTACAAGATTAGGGCTGTGGTTCTAGATACAGGTGTGTGCTAATCCCATATGTGTCTTGCGATCAGTCATTTGAATGTTGCTGTCCCCTGTCAGAGTGCTGAGCAGGTGAGAAGAGGGCAGGGCCTGGCATGGGCCTGCCTCTCTCAGGTTTTAGCTCCCACAGCTGGTAACTGCCTTCTGCAGCAATTGTCTCACTGTGGCCACGGGCACTGGTGAAAAATGACCCCTTCTCTAGAACTAGGGACAGCCTGTCTTTCTGTGGTCTTTGTTGTTCTGCTTTTAACATTTGTCACATTATGGAATTGGGTGCTGTTGAGCCTGTCCTAGGGCCAGTGGCCTCAAGAAATTTGGTATGCTCCTGGGCCACGCTTTCCTCTTCCTTAATCCCACACATGTAGCACATCGGGGCTTCAGAACTGGGCTGCATGTCTGAGCGGCTCCCTTCCACATGGTGCTTGGCAGAGAGAAGTTGCTTGGTGTTGTCTTTAGACTGAGTGTGTCCCTAAATCATGTTTTGTCTGCCTGTGGAACCAGAGCCTTCTTCCCTGGTTGTGGCCTGTCATTGATCATGAGTCCTTGACTCAGCTGCTGTGGGAAGAGGGCACTTTCCAAGCTGTTTAACAGATGGCAGTATGGCACACATTGGAGCAAATCTGATGGTAGGAAGCTCTACTTGTGGCTTGTCTGGGTAAGGATAGCCAGACAGGCAGAATTTGGGTAGTTCTTCTGTCTGTAGCCGCCGCTACGCTTGTGCAGAAGGTCTCAAGCCTCCAAAGCCAGCAGTGCACTCACAGTGTCCACATTGTTTTATTTTACAGTAATAGGGATTAAGCCTAGGGCCCTCTGCTTGATAGCAAGCATGCTGTTACTTGAGCCATACTTCTGGCCCCTGTGTTTGTAATTGTCTATATTGTATTTTACCCTAGCTGACCTCAAACTCAAGATCCCCCTGCCTCTGCTTCTCAGGTAGCTGGGAGTCTACACGTGTCACTTTGCTCAGTGTAGAACCTGCCTTTCATGTGAGAAAAGCACTTACGGGACAGGTTTGATAAGGGGGTAAGCTGTTGAAAGGAATACCTGGCCAGCACACTTGAGCATTGTGCTTGTGTTTGGTTGAAAGATGATATTTCTTGTGTATATCATTTCTGCCATGTAAAGAAAATCTGAAAATGTTCTGGTTGCTATTACTGACATGTTTTGTTTTTACATTCCTTTTCTAGATGACAATGAAAACTAAGCAGCGTACACTAACAGAAGATTGGGAGATATTTAAGCAAAGGCGATTTATTGAAGAACAGGTAAGGTTGTCCACAGGATAGGCAATTAAAGGAAATCCACCCTACTCTGCACAGAGCCGATGGCACCTCAGCGTGCAGTTGTGCTCCGTGTGACAGACACCTTTTGAGGAACACATGGGCATTTTTTGCCAGGGGTTAGGCACTGAAAGACAGTGATTTTTAACCTCAAAGTACACTAACTCACATTCTGTTCTTCCCATACTCGTCAAGGAAAAGGCACATTTACATGCCTTGGTTCCGAGTGTCCTTGAGTTAGGCAGCTGTTGCTCAGAGCTCCCCTGCTCCCCTACAGGGCACGCAGTATCTCCAGCATACACACCACAAGGCTAAGGATGTGCCTGAGATCCCAGAGCTGGGAGTCAGTCCAGCTTCTCAGGTGGCACGCGGGGCCTGCCTCCAGCAGGACTGCTGTCCCAGCAGCTCTGCACCTTCTGCGGGCAGGGCTTTGACAGAGCCTACCAGTCACCTTCCCATGACTGGCCTCCTGACCCTCCACTTTGTTTTGAAACTTACCAGAAGCCAGACGCTTGAAGCTCATGCCTGTCATCCTAGCTGCTCAGGAGGCTGAGATCTGAGGATTGCAGTTCAAAGCCAGCCCAGGCAGGAAAGTCCGTGAGACTCTTTATCTACAATAAACCACTCAGAAAACCGGAAGTGGCGCTGTGGCTCAAGTGGTAGAGCGCTCGCCTTGAGCTGAAGAGCTGAGGGACAGCGCCCAGGCCCAGAGTTCAAGCCCTATGACCGACAAAAAAAAAAAAAAGAAAGAAACTTACCAGATTTCTCGTTGATGTGCCGTGCACACTCCTGCCCCTGCTCTGACCTTTATGGTCTACTTTGTGAGTCTCAGTCCCTGGTGGTTTCCTGCCTTCCTCCATGCTCACTTTGTGCTCTATTTTTTTCCTTCCTTTCTCCCTTCCTCTGCCCCTTTCTTTTGTGTTTGATGTTAAGGATCAAATCCAGGGCCTTGCTTGTTGAAGCAATTGCTCTGCCTCTAAGCTATATCCTGAGCTTGTTCTATCCTGTTGAGTGGCGGCATTTCTAGTTATCACTTGTCTCAATTCCAAGGCTGGCCCAGATTTCCTTCTCTTTGAAATGTAGATGCCTCCTAGTCAGTGGGAAGTGAGTGCCTCTTTCTGAGTTCAGCCTTTCCTCCTTGAACACATCTCCATTCCCACAGCCCTCTTTCTTGTGCTTCACAAGTCCTGGGCACACAGTAGGAGTTTAGAGATTGGGTATGTGCCGCGTCCCTGCTGTCAGATGTCTGTGGTGTGGGCACACAGTACACTTGCTGGAGCTTCTGGGCCCAGTGTGACTCAGCCCTGGCTTCTGACTCCAGGGTAGCAAGCTACTCCTGCTCCTCTCTGCCTGAGGATTGGGCCCATTGGTTTCTATGTGAGCATGGCTTATATTACTGTTGTTACCCACAGACAGGAAAGTAGCACACAAAATTAAGCCGCTGTTTAATACTCTCCTCTAGTTAACTAATAAGAAAGTGGTCCCTGGCGAGAGCAGCTTCACAGACACCGTGAGGCACGCGCTGTCATCCCGGCTGGGCCTGCCCGACTGTCCCAACTGCAGCTACAGGAGAAGGTGAGCTGGGCGGCTGCCTGCCGCCCTAAACCAGGCCGAGGACACGGTGGCCCGCGCGCTGGCTTTCTTGGTAACTGTCCTTAATTCCCAATCAGATGTGCTTGTGATGACTGCAGCCTGTCACACATCCTCACTTGTGGTATCATGGACCCCCCGGTCACTGATGACATCCACATTCACCAGCTACCACTGCAAGTGGACTCTGCTCCCGACTATCTCTCTGAGACGCGCCCACCGAGCACGTCCTCCGCCAGCTCAGGGTCAGGCTCCAGCTCTCCCATCACAGTTGAGCACCATCCCAGACTCATCCTCACAGACAATGGCTCTGCACCAACTTTGTAAGTCGTGACTCTGTAACAGTACCCAATAATAAGAAGTACAGACTCAGTAATGTCTATAGAAATATGAGCATCGTTGTAGTGCTTTTCATTAAAAAAAAGACCTTTCATGGATTTAAGCATCTTCTAAAACATGAAATAGTAAACCTAAACTTGACAATATTTTATTACCTTAAAACTGATAAATTATTAAATGCCAGTACAGAAAAAAATAAACACACACAACAAACACATGTTGGTATGCAGGGAAGTGTCTGCTCATTCTGCCGGAGCGGGGCCCCACTGCTCATCGCCTCATTGTCAGCCCTGTGCTCATGCTGCTCCATGCCTTGCTAAGAGCTCAGCCCATCGCTTTAGCAAGCAGGTGAAGGTTTGTTCTCTGTGTTCCACATCTTTAAGGCGAGGGATTTGTGCGCTCTCACTGACCCACATTGCAGGTGTCTGCTCCTAGATACCTTCAGCATGTGGCCTTACCATTTGCAGACTTTGTATGCTGACTTTTGGCTGGGTTACACATAGATGTGTGTGGTTTCCTAAACATGCTTAAGTTTCTGTTGCACATGTGTTCTTGTGTTATTTACTGTGCAGTCAGTAGGAGCCCTGGAGAGGTGCCCAAATAGGAGAGGTTTGATACCCTGTTCTCAGACTTAATGGATATGATGCTTTCAATGTTTGGACTTGTTCACAAACCCCATTTTTTTCTTACTAATTTAAGGTGCTGTCAGTAGAGCTTATGGCCTTGTACATGAGAGGCAAACAGTACTGCTGAACCATACCCAAGCCCTAAACTCAGAATCCTTCGAAAGGGCCGGTCAGAATTCCATGACTCTTCATTGAAGAATATCAGCCTGCCCTGTAGCCTTAAAAGTGCTGTTCCTAGCCGGGTGCCAGTGGCTCACACCTGTAATCCTAGCTACTCAGAAGGCTGAGATCTGAGGATCACAGTTCAAAGCCAGCTCAGGCAGGAAAGTCCGTGAAACTCTTATCTCCAATAAACCACTAGAAAACTGGAAGTGGTAGAGTGCTAGCCTTGAGCTGAAGAGCGCAGGGACAGCGCCCAGGCCCAGAGTTCAAGCCCCACGACCGACCAAAAAAAAAAAAAGTGCTGTTCCTGGGTTGAGTGTTGAGGTTAGGATTTGTGATATGTTATCCCATTTCCTATGGAGACAGGGAAATTCACCATGTAAAGTCAGAATCCACATTGGACAAATTCAGGCTCAGACTGCTTGCTCATTGCTGCTGTGGCTGCCGACAAATGTCAGCCGTGGGGCTCTGGTGAGTGTTGCATGACGGAGCCTCTCACCTGGGCCAGGACCACTCCCTGCTGGCTGGGCAGCCTGGTCGGGCCTCCAGGCCTTTGGGCCTTGGGCAGCTTGTGATTTGTGTGAAGATGTCCAGTGTGGTCCTTGGCTTGCATTGTCTCTCCCACGCTGACTTTACCTGGGGAGGGAGCGCGGGTGGCTTCACTCCGTGCTCCACCCTCTGGTGGACCTTCGTCAGGTCAGCCACAGCTGAGCAGCCACTTTGTTCAGAACAGAACCCTGGCTTCCCCAGCAGCGCAGCTGCACCAGTGGCAGCACTACAGGAGGGGGGTGACTATCGCCCTGTGCCCAGGCAGCCTGGTACCCTGCATGAACAGGTGCTGTTCGTCTTCCTTCAGTAAGCTCCAGGGTTTGACATAGCACAACTGGTTGATGCTTGTCTCCTTAAAAAGAGAGAGGGCAACTGAATGTGGTAATCCTGAGCACCCTTTGCTGGTGAAGACTCTTTCTGGTCCTTGGAACTTTGGCCTCATAGAGGCCATTGTGTGCCTACGCGGATGCAACTCATGAGTGTGTTGGTGGAGCCTCATGTAGTTCTCCAGCACCAGGAAGTCATAGTTGTTTGTTTGTTTGTTTTGCCAGTCCTGGGGCTTGTGAACTCAGGGCCTGGGCACTGACCCTGAGCCAGCACTTTACCACTTGAGCCACAGCTCTACTTCTAGTTTTTTGGTGGTTATTTGGAAAGAAGATGGAGTATCTTGACCATGATCCTCAGTTCTCAGCCTCCTGAGTAGCTAGGGTTACAAGCATGAGCCATCAGCATTTGACTAAGAAGTCACATAGTTGTTTTTTGTTTGTTTGTTTTGTTATTTTGCCTGTCCTGGGGCTTGAATTCAGGGCCTGGGCACTGTCCCAGAGCTTCTTTTGCTCAAGGCTAGCGCTCTACTACTTGAGTCACAGCGCCACTTCCACCTTTTTCTGTGTATGTGGTGCTGAGGAATTGAACCCAGGGCTTCATGCATGTTAGGCAAGCACTCTACCACTAAGCCACGTTCCCAGCCCAGAAGTCACATTGTTAAGTGACCCTCATAAACAAAAGCCATGAGTTTGATTCTTTTAAGATTAACTATTTCACCAGGCCCTAACAGCTGATACCTGTAATCCTAGGTACTCAGGCTGAGATCTAAGGATCATAGTTGGAAGTCAGCCTGGCAGAAAAGTTTGTGAGACTCTTATCTCCAATTAAGTATCCTTCCTACCTCCCACCTTCTCCTCTCCCCCAAAAAGTTGGAAGTGGAACTGTGGCTCAAGTGGTAGAACATTAGTCTTGAGCAATAGAGCTCAGAGACAGCGCCCAGGTTCTGAGTTCAAGTTCCAGGACTGGCAAAAAAAAAAAAAAATTAACTGTAGAGACCAGAGGTTGTTCTCTGTACCCTTTAATTTTACTTAAAGATTGCATCCTGCTTCCGAGTGGTAGCAGAGCTGTGTGCAGGGAATTACAGGTGAGAGTACAGGTCTGACGATGTGTTTGTGGTTTCACTATTTGTTATTCTTCCCGGCGTGTTTTTGGTTCCGGTGACTTAGAGGTGTTAAGCAGCAGGAATGGCACTTTACCCAGTGCTCTCTTAGAGAAGGGGGACTCAGCACGTGGTTCCTCATGGCCCTCCCTAGCCAAGGGCTTCGTGGTGACGTCTCTGCTTGCCTCAGTTGTAGTGATGATGAAGATGTCGCACCGTTGTCAGCAAAGTTTGCTGACATCTACCCATTGAGCAACTACGATGACACTGAGGTGGTGGCCAACATGAATGGGGTCCACAGCGAGATGGATGGCGGTGGGGAAAACCTGGCCCTGAAAGATGAGGTATGGGTTCATAGTGACAGCGTGGTCTGATGGTTAACTTTGACATCGTTCTGCTTTGAAGCATTAGCTACACAAGGCTGTCTTTAAAGTCTCCTCAGGTAAGCAGCACTAGTAGCAGCTCTTCAGAAGCTGGTGATGAAGAAGCAGATGGTGAGAGTAGTGGGGAGCCCCCAGGAGCCCCAAAAGAAGATGGAACCCTAGGAAGTGGAAGCCCCAGGGCCGAGGAGAGGAGAGGGGACACCCCGCCCCCGTCCTACCCAGCTCAGCAGGTATGTGTCCTGCGTCCAGTCGTCTGTTTACCAAGAGTCTGTGTGTGTGTTTCCCTTTTCTTTTTTTTTTCTGTTGGCCATGGGGCTTGAACCCAGGGCTGGGCGCTGTTCCTGAGCTTTATTGCTTAAGGTGAGCGCTCTACCACTTTGAGCCACAGCCGTCACTACCAGTTTTCTGCAGGTTCATTGGAGATGACAATCTCACAGACTTTCCTGCCTGGGCTGACTTTGAACCACGATCCTCAGATCTCAGCCTCCTTGGCAGTTAGGATGACAGGCGTGAGCCACCGGCACCCGGCTGTGTCTTGTGGTATCTTCAGACTAGAACTAGAGATAAATAAGCCATACTTAGAAAATATGACCCCCCACTCTAGTTTTGTTTCTCTCGCTTAAATCTGTGATGATCTGTCCTGACTTCAACGCTGCCCTGCTCCATGGTGAGTGTCGGGGTTTGTCTGTGTGTCTCCTGTGTGGAGCCAAGGAGGTTTGGTGCTTCTGTAATTAAGCTTTTTTTTTTTTTTTTTTTTGTCGGTCATGGGACCTGAACTCTGGGCCTGGGCACTGTCCCTCAGTTCTGCTCAAGGCTAGCGCCCTACCACTTGAGCCACAGCGCCACTTCCTGGTGCTTTTGTTGAGATCGGGGTCTGCCTATGAAGCCCAGGCTAGCTTTGAGTTTGTCACCCTTCTGCTCCCACCTCTCCAGTGTGGTATCTGTAATTTGCACCACCAGGCCCAGTTCAGGAGATATTTTATTGGTTGGTTGCTGAGGTTTGAACACAGCATCTCCCTCTGTCTCAAACCACAATCTTCCCTATCTCAGCTTCCCAAGTAAGCTAAGAAAGACTGCAGGCGCCCAGCTCCTAGTTCCCGCTCCAGTGCACAAGGGACCTAGATCAGTAGGGGCACCTCGGCAGATGTACAGCTGGTGAATGATCCTCTCTTTGTAGCCTTTCTCAGACTCAATCTAGTTCCTCCCCC